AACATGTTTGAAACATTGGTCGAACATGTCTTTACACATTTCAAACGCGGTTTTAATTCAATGATAGGGTTGTTAGAGTGCATGGTATCTACAACATTATGAGCGGAGGGTCAGAGCAGAACACAAAGTCCGCGGGGCACCGTGCGAACGCCCTGCCTCTGCGACGCCGCTCGGGGGTGCGTTCCTTCAGCATCACGCCGGGCTGCTCGGGCGCACCTTTTAAGGCGGTGGTTAGTCGATTGGACGTAAGAGTGACCTTTCGCCGGAGTGACCTTTGGTGCGGGCCCATTGGGGCCCCCCGGTCGCCGAACGCGATGCGATAGTAGCGTCTTGCGCGATTAGATTTGGCCCCACCGCGGCCCCCCCAAACGCCGCGCACCAACGGTCACTCCTACCCAGGGTCACTCTTGCGTGTAGTCGAGTTAGGCTGTCCAGAATGCGGCTCGTGGTCAGTTGCTGCCTGGCTGCGCCCTTTCACGGAGGTGGTTTCGAAGGAACAGTGCCGCCGCCGTGGTGCTGGCGTGCGGCCTGGCGGCGGGAGGAGGAGGCGGAGGAGGAGGAGGAGGAAGAGGAGGAGGAGGAGGAGGAGGAGGAGGAGGAGGGGGAGGAGGAGGAGGAGGAGGTGGAGGAGGTGGAGGAGGTGGAGGAGGAGGAGGAGGAGGAGGAGGAGGAGGAAGTGGACGTTTTCAAGGAGCAGGGGGGAAGGAGGGCAAGAGTAAACCCAAGATGCAACAACAACGCTGCAGTACACCCTTGCGTCACAGGCCCCCTCATCAGAAATGCCTGCAGACATTCCCTTGTGCTACGCGGACCCCCGTCCTTGAGAGGCGAGAGCCCCGTGGACCCGCCATTCAAGAGAGCCCCATTTGAAAAAGGAAGCTTCATCCATCCATGTAAGTGTCGCACAGCACACCTGCACATGATGCCGATATCCAGCTGCCTGCGGCACGTCCCGCCACCGTGCCAGCCCAGTTTCCTTGGTGGTCTGTGCGTGGGGGGGCACGGAGGTCCTTACGGGTGCCATCTTGTATCTCGGGTCTTCGGGGAGCCGTAAGACGTGTCGCGCTGTCCGTAGGGCCGTCTTGGGGAGTTCTAAGAGCAATGTGTTTGACGCCGTCACGTGTGACACCTCGGCTGTCTTAGGGTTTGGGTGGCGAGGAGGCCGCGACAGGCGGCGGAGGATCCAGAGCGGGTCCCCTGGGTCGTCATCCCGGACACCACCCAACGCGGGCCGCCCAGGGGGTGGCAGGTGCCGAACCTGTGGTTCGGGCCGCCCCTGCTGCTGGCAGCCACTGCTGTGCAATCTGGACCGCCCCCGGGTTCGAGCGAGGACCTCGTCGGGGTGCAAAGAGGAGGCGTGGTCGCGTGGCAGGCGATCGCCGCCAGACGCGGAAACGGCAATCAGTTCACGTCATTGGGCGAGGAAGTCGACATGTTTCTCGACGAGCATCGGGAGTTCGCATACGCCGTCAAGGTCTTCGACTGGGCCAAGCAAGGCACAGCGACGATGCTACCATCAGGTGCGCTGCAGCTGACGGGGGACGTCCTGCTGCGCTCGTGGCTGTTCGAGCTGCTGATAGCGAGGGCCCGCTCCGCCGGCACCGCAGCGCGGTGCGAGGCCCGCGTCGTTGGCGCCAACTTCGTGAAGCTCGATGGCCCCGTCGCCGTCGACGCCCTGACCCAAAACGACCTCCGCGGACTTGAGCTGGAGGAGCTCCTCGTCGTGGTGCCCGCCGTCTGTCTCCCTTGCGGCGCCGGCTCGCTCGCTTCCGTAGACTATGTCTCGGTGGCGTTGCGGTCGGCACTTGGCGAGGAAATGCTTGCAGACGTGGCCTGCATGAAGATCTCGCCCGCGTTCCTGGGGAGACTCGCCGAGAGCTGCGCGGAGGACGAGGTGAGCGAGTTCTCCGACTCAGCTGGCGGGTCTGCTCAGACGGACCTGCTTGCATCCCCGTGAAAATTGAACAAAAGTGACGCAGGAATGGAAGCCGAAACGATGTTGAATCAGACCAGGCGGGGTTTGTCGCATCAAGTGACGTCAGTCTGGCAACGTTGCGGAAGAACGTGTCGTCTGCATCGCGTAGTGCGTGTTAGCCATCCGACAAGTGAGAACGAAACCGCAAGTCAGAAAGTGAAGCCGCCTGCGCCAGCGGCCCTGCGAAGGATTTTCTTGGAAGGGCAGCCGGACATTAAGTGGCGTCCGCCTCCCAATGTTGTTGCCACCGGGCGCGCAAGCCAACATATTGCATGGCAGTGACCTGGACCATGGTGCGCGCCTGCCCACGCTGCCAACATTGAGAGGCGAATATCACTTAATGATGCTCTTTGGGCGTTGCCGTCTGCAGATCATTCACGACGGTCGTCTTGCTGATTTTGTTATAACTTTTCTCCCGGCTGTGTGGATGTCGAACCTATTTGGGCGTGCTGCAATCGTCTTGGCGGCAATTGCCTTACACCGTCGGCAACCTCTGCCGCTCGGGCAGATGGAATGAGAAGCGCGCGATCCCTGATGCATGCAATGGTACCCGGACGGCTGCCGTGGTCTGTCGTGGTTCTCTTGGGAGGGTAGGGGGGGAACGCGAGGGAAAATACCATGAAAATGCGAAGGGGGAGGAAAACGAGGAGGGGGGAGGAGCAGGAGGATTAGAAGGGAGGAGGCGAGTGAAGATGCTGACGGCAGAGGAGTGAGAGCTAAGCAGTGGCCGGCGATGTGGCGAGAACGCATAGCGTCCCCGTGGTGGTCGTCGTGGTCGTCGTGGTCGCCGTGGTCGCCGCCGTCGTCGCCGTCGTCGCGGTCGTCGTCGTCGTCGTCGTCGTCGACGTCGCCGTGGTCGTCGCCGTCGTCGTCGTCGTCCGCCGTTCCTGGCAGAGTAACGGCGGCGTTCGGGGCCCGGGGCCCAGGGCCCGATCGTCGTTGTCGGACGCAACTCGTTAGTGGGCGGGGGCGGGCTCGCCGTGGAAGTCCGCTCGGGGCGGCAAGTTTTCGACGTGTGGCGAAAGTATTTGGCGATTGGCCGCGGGCGGGTCCGGGCTCACTTAGCAAACTCCTACGCGGGGCGCACTTCCCGTCGCCCAAGGACCCCGGCTCACTTAGTAAACTCATACGCGGGGCGCACTTCCCGTCGCCCAAGGACCCCGGCGTAACGATGGGGGCGGTGACGGGTTTCGCGTGTAAAATCGCACGCGGGACGCTTTTTGTGTAGAGTGGCGTGCCCCCGGCGTGCCCAAAAGCTCCCCCCTCGGCCAGGTTTTCGCGGGTGAGAAACAAAACGGGAAGCGCAACTCGTGAAGTTTGGATGTTTTTTTTTTTTTTTTTTGTTTTTGTTTTTTTGTTTTTGTTTTTTTGTGTTTCTTCCTTTCTTTTTTGTTTTTGTTTGTTTTGTTTTTTTGTTTGCGTTCCCATTATGTAGTACAAACATATCCCACTTTACGACGGGTGCTCCCCGTCTTATTTTTCCGCGCGCCAGACGCGGGAACAAAAACAGATCGTAAAATCGGCGCGCCGGGGCGCGCCTCTTTACGCGAGGTGCGTTCTGTGAATGAATTTACACATTCAACCGGCACCTGCCCGATCGTCGCGTGGGATCGCTGGGCGACCTGAACTGCATCCCGTGTGTCAATTTACATGATGGAACCCGCCCCCCCCCCCCGTCGGGTCGTCAACGCGGTTCGCTGGGCAACGCCTTGCAGGTCCCGCTGGTCTCGTCGGTCCCACAGGTCCCCCAGGCCTCGCAGGTCGCACAAGTTTCGCACGCCCTGCAGGTTTCGCAGGTCCCACAGGCTTCGCAGGTCCCACATGACCCACAAGTCCCAATGGTGCCACAGGTCGCACAGGCCCCGCGGCTCCCGCGAGCCTTACATGTCCCGCGAGTCCTGCGGGACTCTCGCAGGCCCTAACGAGGCCGACGTTTCGCACGGGTCCCACAGGTCTTACAGGCCCCGCAGGTCCCTCAAGTTTCGCAGGTCGCACAGGTCGCAGGCCCCGCAAAACCCACCGATCCCGCCAGTCGCCCAGGTCCCGCATGTCCCGCAGGTCCCACAAGTCGAACAATTCCCACAGGGGCGCAAATCTCACCCGCCCCACAGGACCCGCAGGGCGGCACGCTAAAAGACGAGAGGGAATCGCGCTGAAACCCAATACTTCGGCAGAGTTATCCATCCCCGTGAATTTGATAAGCAAAAGTGGCACACGAATGGAATGCCGAGGCGATGTTGAATCAGACCAGGCGGGGCCCGTCGCATCAAGCGACATCCGCTTGTCAATGTTACGGAAGAACGCATCGTGTTCGTTGCGCAGTGCACGTTAGCCACCCGATTAGTGGTAACGAAACCGCAAGGCAGAACGTGAAACCGCCCACGCCAGCGGCCCTGTGAAGGATTTACTTGGAAGAGCACCTGGACACTAAGTGGCGTCCGCCTCCCAATGTTGCCACCGGGCGCGCAAGCCAAAATAATGCATGTCAACGACCTGGCCCATGGTGCGCGTCTGCGCACGCTGTCAACATTGAAAGGCGGATATCTTTTAATGATGCTGTTTGGGCGTTGCCGTCTGCAGATCATTCGCGATGGTCGTCTGGTTGATTTTGTTATAACTTTTCCCGGCTGCGTGGATGTCGAAGGAATGGGAAGCGCGCGATCCCTGATGCATAGCATGGCACCCTGACGGCTGCCGTGGTCTGCCGTGGCTTTCCTGGGAGGGTAGGGGGGGTGGCGCGAGGGAAAAGAATGGAAGATGCGAAGGAGGAGCAAAACGATCAGGGGGGTGGCGAGAACGCATGTCGTGGTCGTCGTGGTCGCCGTGGTCGCCGTGGTCGCCGTCGTCGTCGTCGTCGTCGTTCTCGTCGTCGTCGTCGTCGTCGTCGCCGTCGTCGTGGTCGTCGTCGTCGTCGTCTCCGTGGTCGTCGTCGTCGTCGTCGTCGTCGTCGTCGTCGTCCGCCGTTCCTGGCAATAGCGGCTGCGTTCTGGGCCTGGGGCCCTGGACCCGCCCGTCGTTGTCGGACGCAACTCTCTATGGGGCTCGGGCGGGCTCAGCGCTCATGGCGGCAAATTTTGGATGTCCGGCGAAACTACTTGACGATTGAACGCGGGCGGGTTCAGGTTCGCAGTGGAAAGTCACATGCGCGGCGCACTGCCCGTTGCCCAGGGGCCCCACTTAACGATCGGGCGGTGGCAGGTTTAGTGTGTAAAATCAGACACGGGACGCACTTCGCGTCAAATGGCGTGCCCAGGCGTGCTCACTATGCGACATACATATATATATATATATATATATATATATATATATATATAGGTGTATATATACATATAGATATATGCATATAAATATGTATGTCTGCATATATATATATACATATATATACACATTCCGCGTTTCGTGCTTGAAGAAATAGGGTGGGGAGCGCAAATCGTAGGGTGGAATTGTTTGAATTCTGGGAAAAGAAAGCTAGTGTCATTTTTAATTAATAAATGAGCTTTGCGACGGATGCTGCCCGTTTTGCTTCCCCGCGCGCCAAGCGCGGAAAAAAAAC